TGTTGCTGTCTCGAACCATTGGTTTACCCTTACTTGTGGTCTCAAAGGTCACCAAAGGGTCCTCCATTGTGAGAAAATATGGAGCTGAACTTGTGTCAACTGTTCTGTTTTAAAACAATGAGAAAACTGAAGTTGGGAATTTTCATGGGAAAACTTCCCGCATTTGCAATAAAAAAGACCGATTTTCATCTTTTTAGAAAAGTAAAAGTAATTATAGCAAGTGTAACCATTATGGCATGTGTCCCTTATGGCAAGTGTAACTTATGGCAAAAGTATTATGGCAAGTGTAATTATGGCAAAAGTATTATGGCAAATGAAACTGAGCCTGCAAAGATTAACTTTGAGCTTTAAGTAAATACTCAATTCCCTTAAATTTCATCCTTTCTTAACCCTATTCCTTCTGTGGGGGAGGGGTCAATTTGACTCCCCTTTAATACTAACTCCCTGAACGACTACTTTTTCCTGTAACAAACTAAATCGTCAGATTTTGATAATTTTAATAATGACATAAAGAAACGGATTTTTTACAACCTGTTAAGAGAAATTAGCACACTTTTAGTTTTTCTTAATTACACACCTTAACCTATTTAAAATTTTGCTATTTTTTGGCATATTTTAAATGGCATGGTCAAGAGCTTTTCAAAATGTATATTTTATCGTTATTTGCAAATTTTATTTTGCAAACAATAAGATCCATTTTAACTGTCTAAAAGCCATCGTTTCGTCATTTATGACATTGTTTTGAGTAGGGTTTTCAGCAAATGAAACGCTTCGCGAAAAAATGCGAAGATTTTCGTTCCCATTTCACAAACTTTTTTGCAAAAATGAATGCAGCGAAAAAAGGCAAAAACATTTTGTGAATACAAAAATTCCGCGTCGTAAACCAGTTGCAACAATTAATTGCGCCAAAAAAACCTTTGGAATATCTGCTCTGAGAGCACAACATTTAAAGTTTTATTATATCATTTTAATAATTTCTCTTCCTTTACTTTAAATAATGTTTGATGAATAGAATTTATTTCTCTAGCTATCTTTCTGAGTTTCTGTCCGTCCTCGTACGTTCACCCTAATCCAGCAAGCTATGAGCCAGCCAAATACAAGACAGAATCTTCTAAATCGACTGTATTTTTTGCTTGTGTTTATTTTTTCGCAAAATTTCCTTTTTTTCGAAATGTTTGCATTACTTTATCACAAAATTTTTGCATTATTTTTTTACTAAATTTTTGAGAAAATACGAAAAACCCTAGTAAATATGGCTTTTTACCCGGTCTGATTCTTTATATAATGGGGTGAAAATTAACTTATTTAGACAAAAGCATTATAAATTACTTCACAACATATTATCATAAAGGATACCCTTTAATTTATATAACATATATAAATAATTCAACTATTTTAATTATATCAACATTCATAATTCAAATAGTTTATAATTCTTCATGTAATTTATATACATTTGAGACGAAATAAATATAATGGAAGAATTATTCTTTTTTATCTCCCTTTCAAAAGTTATTGAAGGGATCCAAGCAGGGTCCTGGACAAACTCTAGAGAGTGTTATGCACAAATAAAGACATTAGCTGTGAATTGCGTAAATTGCATATTCTATTACAGCGCATCATTGCATAGTTTTTGCACTTGCATAAGAATTTCACTTTTTATGTCAATTGTAATCAGAAAATTTGTGCAAATGGCCCAAAAATAGGAAGTTTTCAATCATAAACCTTTGATATTCTAGACTACCTCTTTTTTATCATCATACAGGGTGAATAAAAAAACTGAGTTATTATTGTTCTACATGTACAAGATAAAACTTGTGTGTAAGGTTCATGTTTTTCAGCAAACTTAAATGTGATTAGCAAAATGCAAAAAATCTGAGAGAAACTAAATAGATTATTCATGAAATTACTTGCGAAATAATTTTCATTTCATGTAATTTTGCAGGATTACATGTAATTGGCCAAACTTAAATCTAACAAAATTACAACGTAATTTCGCCTAATTCATACAAAGTAATTTCTCAAAATTTTGTAATTATTAGGCATAATTAGCAAAACTTTGATTTTGTAAAATTACGACGTAATTTTACCTGATTTTTTTAAGGTAATTAAAAAAATTTTGAAATAATTACGCTTAATTTGCGAAACTTTGATTTTGCGAAATTACACTGCAATTTCACATAATTTCTAGAAGGTAATTTCACGAAATTTTGTAATAATTACGTGTAATCAGCAAAACTTCTATTTCACAAAATTTTGCATTATCACAAAATGGTTTTGTATTATTTAATTTTATGTAATTACGCCTTATTAACATGAAACTAGACTTTCTTTCATATAAGTAATTACCACGTAATTTTGCGTAATGCTTCTGCGTAAGTGAAAGAAAGTGTTACGCGTAACTAGGTGTAACCATGCGCAACATAAATATGACTGGAAACCCTGTACCCAAAAACATTATGAAAATAGACCATTTAACAAAAAATCATTTTGTTTATGTCAAATTTTAGGCTTTACAATGGAATGTTGGGCCTTTTTTTGGCAACTCTTACAAATTTCATCCAAATTTTACTATATCTGCACTGCACGAACAATTTAAGCTGAAAAATTGTGAGCAAAAATTTGCTTATAAGAAACACCATTGACTTGAGTAAAAATGTACACTTTGAATTCCTTAACTAAAGAAGATCTTTAGTAAACTTATTGTGTATTAAATGTTAACGCCCTTTCTAAATTATTGAATTTCCTTTCACATAAGCAAACACTAAATACTTCAATTATTTTTATTCAATAAGCATTCATTACTAATCTAATAGCACATTCATTTTGAAAAGTTCAACCTTTTTACAGAGCAAAACACTCAATTTCATCCTAATAAAATGATTATTAAGCATTCTTTTCTTCTTATCTTACAAGGGTCAGCAGTCATACTGAATCAACATTTTCTAGCAATTTAACGTTTTAAAACAAAACTCAATCCATCATATTACTAACATGGAACATGTTACCATGCAGAAGAAACTTTTTTTTCAACTCAAAACTGAAAGATACTTTTTTTTCTAATTTGTTTAGACCCTTTTGTCCCCCTCCCTCTATTAATTTTCTCTTTTTTAACAAAAAAAAAATTTTGTTATATTCAAAACTAATTTTTTTGTATCGCTGTGATTTATTGTATCATTTAAATGGTAAAAAAATGTTTACACATTCTTTCCCTGTTAATTGTTAATTATTTATGTTCAGTTATCTCTGTACCCAAGAAACAATTTAGCGGAAAATCCGCTGATATTCCTAGGAATCTTTCCTGAGAATATTCCTGAGAGTCAGAATATTACAGTCGTTTTTGATCTTACTGAAGTTGTCATCTATTTTGTTTATTCAGACAACTGAATTGTCAAGAAAAAATAAAAAATGAAAAAAATTTTCTTAATATTTTTTTAAAAAGATGGTTCTAGAGTAAATTATCATTTTTTATCAATAAGGATGCAAAGAAAAAAAGATTTAGGTAGGGCAGTGCAAAATAGAAGAGAACCTCAGAGACACCTATTGGAGAAAAACAAAACTTGAAAATTCTGTGATGAAGTCCTGAGAATTTCTTAGGAATTTCCGGAGAAATATTCCAGAAAAATTCTGAGGAATTTTGTGGGGAAAAATTCCAAATAATTTCTCAGGAATTTCTGGAGACTGAGTCTCAAAACTGTGATCCCATAAAAATCTCTCATCTTGGGGACCAATTCTGGGGAATTTCTCAAGAATTTCCGAGGAATTAGTTACAGAAACATGATTCTCGAGAAATTCTTCGGAAATTCTTCAAAGAAAGTCACCACTGTTGGAGAATCTGGGGAAATTCCTCTTTTTTGTTACTTCAGTATGTGAAATCGATTTTGTTAACATACCTTCATTAAACTATTAAGACTACTAAACTAGCAACTTCAATCCTACTAGAACTAAAAGATAATCAGGGATAAAAGCCCCTATTGATTACAACATGATATGAAAATAAAAACTGGTCAGTCTCAACAGTACCATCTCGAACCCCAAACCTTAACTTATGCAAAATTATTTCAGGACTGAAAATCAGTCTTAGACATCTCTCTCTCTCTCCACCAGAACAATTTTGAGACCTTTAAGAACTAATAAATATCTGTTCTCACTTTATCAGGCAGTACAATCTCAAAATACCTAAGTTCATAAAAAGTCGTCAGATCAATATCTGCATCTAGGAGCTCTGCCTTCAAATTATGGTTATTGATGAACCCCAACTTCATTGCTTCCTTCTGTCTACCATACTTGAAATGTCGTCTTCATAGCAAAAGACAAAATCCTCATATGACATAACTGATAAAAGCTGATGCGAAGAAAAAATCCCCCCCCCCCACCCCGGCTCTTACCACCATCAGACCTTACTTGCAACCTTGCATAACAGTATGGGAAAGGACGACGACTGTTAAACTCAATTTATGATATGATTTAAACAGTCCAGTGTCCGAATTTAATCAATTTAAGTCGCGTCTCAAATCCCCCAAAACCCGTTTTAATTGAGCGCCGGCTTAATCTTTGAAAAATTGACTAAAATTTTAATTGAACCAACCATATTTGAGCCAAGGCTTAAATTCGGCCTCAGCAAGCATGAATTAAGTGAATTTGGCAGTGTGTAGACTGTAGGCAGCCATGTTAGTGGCAACGACAGTAAGTGCAATGCAAAGCAATGATTCACGACAGTATCCTTGAAAGCTTTGTCCGATCAAGTTGGAATTAGATATCTACAAAAGTGACTTGCGCATTTCTACTGGAGGAAAACAGATAGGAATCATCAGAATTAGTCACTTTTAAAAACTTTTAAACCTAGAAAAACAACAATATTTTCCATATTATTCACCAGAAAAAGGTTTCAAGGGTACCGTTGTGCATATGACATGGACATTTTTGTATGGAGGGACATTTGAAATTTATGCATATAGACCCTTCAAAAGAATATGAGTTTCCTCTCTTTAAGAATCAACTTCCATGTAGTTATTTATTGAAAATACTTATTATTTTAAAAACAGGTTTTTATGTCCAGGGGAGGTAGGTCCAGATAAACTAAACAGTTTAAAATCAGGTTTTATATCCAGGGGAGGTAGGTCCAGATAAACTAAACAGTTTAAAAACAGGTTTTATATCCAGGGGAGGTAGGTCCAGATAAACTGGACAGTTTAAAAACAGGTTTTATATCCAGGGGAATTAGGTTCAGGTAAACTAAACAGTTTAAAAACAGGTTTTATATCCAGGGGAATTAGGTCCAGATAAACTAAACAGTTTAAAATCAAGTTTTATATCCAGGGGAATTAGGTCCAGATAAACTGGACAGTTTAAAAACAGGTTTTATGTCCAGGGGAGGTAGGTCCAGATAAACTAAACAGTTTAAAAACAGGTTTCATATTCGATCAGGGGAGGTAGGTCCAGATAAACTAAACAGTATAAAAACAGGTTTTATATGCAGGAGAAGTATAGGTCCAGATGAATTAGACAGTTTAAAAACAGGTTCATAATCAGGGGAGGTAGGTTCAGATAAACTAAACACTTTTAAGTTTAAACCCAGTTTCATATTGAGGGAATGCAGGTTCAGAATCAGACAAACTAAACAGTTTAAAAACAGGTTTCATATTCAGGGGCGGGAGGTCCAGATACACTTAAGCAAGTTCTATCCCCAGAAAGAAGCATTTTACAGCTCCCCTTGGGCGACTTTTGAAAAATAAAAAAATTTCCTCCGCCGAAATCAGGTCCAAGCTCATTCATAAACATCTGGCACGACCTTGGATCCGACATATGGTCCATTGTATTCTCCGCCCCACTGTTGTAGTTGCAATCCTCGGCCATAAAGGCGGAACATCCAACCGGCGCATTCATACACTCATCAACAAGAGGGCTCGCCGGGCCGGTCATCACGTTGCAGGTTGGATAAGTTTTAGAAGAGAGGGTACAGGACTCGGAGAGAATATTGAATCTGAACTCTCGGCATCCAGAGGTTTCTTGACATAAACTCTGACAGCTGGTGATATTCCCTCCATCAAGATTGACCTCTTGGATAACACTGCGCTCACATTGTCCTAGACTTATAAATTTAACAAGAAGAAGAGTTTCTTCAACGAAAGTTTTAGAAAATAAACAGAAAATTCTGGTCTATTTAAACTCTTTTGCTTTGCTTAATGTTCAGTTATTAAAAGAAATGGTAGTGAAAAATGTCTCTATGTTCTGAAATTTTCCGTCAATAGGAGGAGTAGAAATTTTATTTTATTCTTAGTAAAGCCTTATTTCTTTTTAAAACGCTCTTTTTTTACTTGGAACCAGAAAACTCTGCAATCAGAAGATGACTTTAAAACTAAACTTAATGAGTGATTTAATAAGTTACAAATAAAACATTTGCTTTGATAACAAGATCAAACAAACTTTAGTATTGCTTTAATGTCGTCTTCCTAGTTCACAGTTTCCTGGTTCTAAATGAAACTTTATATGATTTATCGCAGAGAAAATGTTGAAAGATTGAGCAACAATTAAAAGTTGAAAAAGAAGATGCTGATAGCTGGCCTTTAGTTAATCTTCACCTATGCTAAACTCAGAGCAGTCCAGTCCATACAAACCACCAGGTAGTAAACATAAAACCAGAAATACAAAATTCATCTCTAGAAATAAAATTTAATTTTAAAGAGATTTCTAATTTCAAGTTACCTCCCATTTAAAGAGGGAAATTCTCGATTCACAACAAAAAGGGTCCATGGAAAATACAGGGTGTCCCATGAAACATGACAGTTGGTGAATAGTTTAAAATGTCTTCTTCCATAATATGTCAAGTTGTTTGTTGCCAAAGAGAATAATATTTAATATTTTATGCAGAGATAAGAGAGTTACAGAGATCGATTAACACCTATAATATGCGATATTTTCCACAACATGTGTACAAGTACTGTAAACGACCAATCAGGAGACATCTGTATTCAGGGATATTCAAGGATCCTTTGAATAGGAAATGCAAAATCTTTAAAAATAGACAATATGCATAAACGTTATGTTTTATGTTTAAAATTGGAGTACTTCTTTAAAAGTTTTAAAACTTAACCTCTGAATGCAACAATTGGTCGTAAGATGTCAGTCAAAAAACATTACATGGAACCGTAGCATGGCGTGCCGAGACGCTTTAGGCCTGCTCAGCCTATCCAGGTAGAGTGTAATAGCAGGAATTGTAGTCTGTGATTTTATGGCATTCATATTATGGTAAAATTTATTTCTAAGTAAAATATATTTGAGTAAAGTTTTTAAAGCTCAATAAATTGCAAAAAGTCTTTAATATCTAATACAGCATTTGGAAGAAGACATTCAAAACTATTCACCATCTGTCATGTTTCGCGGGACACCCTGTATCTTTTGTTGCTTGCTTAAAAAGAGTTTAATTAAGACAATTTCCATAATGAGAAAATGATTTATATCTAATTAACTTAATTAATTAATTTAAGGTCTGCCGGGAACATATCCCTCTACAAATGTTGAGTTACTTAAAATTTGGTAAATTTAGTCCCTTTGTACTAAATGTAAGTCTGTTTTTAACCCTATCTCTGTTGGGGTACTTAAAAACCAGTATATGCTGGGGGAGGGGGTCAATTTGACCCCCCCTCTAAATCCCATGTTGGTGTAAAAATATGACAAATGATACATCATTGGAAAGCTCTTGTGCTCTACTTTTAGAAATTTACAAATCTGCAAAAATTGAATTTTTATCGCAAAATCCAGTTATACAGTAAAAATGTTTGCAAAAAAAAATTTGTCAAAAAAATGAAAAATTTAAATAACCTGATTTCTAATCAAGAAAAACTAAAAATGTGCAAATTTCTTTTGACAAGTTATTTGCAAAAAAATTTGCAATTTTTTTTCGCAAAACTTGTGCAATTCGTTTCCTCGTGTCAAAGGCTTTCCAAAAAGCTAAATTTTATTAAAATCTGACAAGTGGAAGTGGGTCAAAACAAAGATTTAGTTTGTTACAGGAAAAAGCAGTCATTCAGGCAGTGTGCCTGAATGACTGCTGAATGACAGTGTATTGAAGCCCGGTTTTAGGTCTAAAGGGAGGGCTTTGGGTATGTAGGAAAAGTCAGAAAATTTCAACAGCCTCAGACCAATACTTTTTGAGTTATGTAAAAAAACTACAGGGGGGGGGGTCAAATTGACCCCCCCCCCCCCCCAGCAGGAATAGGGCTAAGTGACCCTCCATGCAAAAATAGCAATGCCCATTTTACAGCAGTACTCTTCAGAACTTAATCGGATAAAAAATGTGGAAGGTGAATTCGTAAAGTGTTTATTTCTGTAAATTTCTCTATTGTTGCTTTTAAGCAAAAAGAGTAGAAATCAATTTTGTAGAAAACCCACAAATAAAACAACCAGAGCTGAAAACTTTAGAATGAGATATCCTTAATCCCGATTACTAAATCTGAGTATCCAATGGACACACTTTTGGTTTTCTTCTTAAACCGTTCTTTCATGGATATAGTAGAGAAAAATCAGAAACCGGTTTTTCTAAATTTGAGAGTCCCTTTCGTTTCTGCTTATTTATCTTAAATGGCGCGCAAAATTTCAAATTTATCGGCTTCATATACGCGACTCTGATTGGTTAAATTTTATACACTATTCAGGATACAAGTACAAGATTAGGTAGTCTCGATATTAAGAAAAAGAGAGAATCGAGCAATAATCTAGATATCCACTATTCTAAAGTTTTCAGCTCAGCTTAAACAGACAAAAACTTTTATACTTGATCCGACAAAGCTTTTAAGGGTACCGTTGTAAATTAGTCATTGCCATTTCCTTGCATGCAGGATCACTTGAAACTATGCTGACAGTCCCTTTAAATCACTTTCTAAATATTAGTTCTAACACTTTTCTTTCGAAAAATTATATCAAAAATATTTACCTAAATTATTTGAATAACAAAAGTAAAATGTTCAACTTCAGTAATGCGGAGATTTTATAATTTTTCTTTTATCTTCTTAAACAAATACGGATAATAACAATGTTGTTATGATGTTACGAAAAAAGGTTTTCTGAATTTATTATTTCAACTTTTTTAATTGATAAAAATGAACTATTTTCAAGAAAAAAAGAGAAACTTTTTGCAGGTAATCGGTTTAAAAATTATTAAAGTGAAACCTGTCCTTTTATAATTCCTAAGCTAGTTTTACTTCAAAAAAGAATATTTTTAAATAAAGGTTTTTTAAGAAATTTCTATTATCTATAAATATAAAGTTAAAATCACTGTGTTGTCTGTCTCTGTCTGGGTGTCTGTCTGTCTCTCTGTTTGTTTGTCCGATCATAACTCAAGAACCATTGGACCGATTTGCCTCAAATTTTTATTGGGGGAACTCAGGTGAGTGACAGGAATGTTCTTAGCTTAGTTTTGAGTTTCTAAATTGAGTGGGTCGAATTTTATACCGAAAATTAAGTTTCCCAGTAAAAATCGTCATAATGCGGGTAATCGGCTGGACTAACTATGACCTTGTTCAATGCTGTGTTCTTAAGCTAGTTTTTTATAATTGAGTGGAAGAGATGAATTACTGCCAATTAGACAAAAGGAGAAGGTTAAATGTATACAATATCACTAGTAGGACTTTGTGGCTTTATATCTCCTTTATTCTTTATTTTACGCGCTTATAAAAGAAAGCAAATTTACATATAAGATTGTTAACATAAATTCGAAAATATAAGGAAGACGATTTTACCGACCCAATATGCCTCTGTTAATTCTCTAAATGCGTGTGTACACAGGAACCACGAAATGAAGCAAGCACGCCCCACATGTCAAATCCCCGCTCACCTAGCTCACACTTCATCCCAGCGTCAGTTAGCTTTAGAATGTCGAGATGCGAACACCTCTAACATGGAACTACTAACTCCTTCATCCCGCCGCCGATGTCTACTCTAGCAACAAATGCTGCTAATGTCTAAGCCGACCTCCAAGGCAGTCGCATGTCACGGGGTTGAGAGGCAAATCAAGTTCCTCCCTACACATGTTACAGACTGCAAAACCCTCCCTCCAGAGTCACATGTCCAGGGGATTGAGAGGCAAATCAAGTTCCTCCCTTCACATGTGACTGACGGCTAATCCCCCAGAACTGTCGCTTAGATGTGAACCCTTTGCTGCCAAGATGCTGACACATGTGAGCTGACCATCATGAAGCTCCAACTGTTCCAATCCTTTCAACACCATCACCAACATGAAGTTACTGCTGATGTTTGTCTTTTCCTTTATTAATTTCAATCAACCAATTTTAATTCGCAATATGTGCAAATATTTCAAAACAATTTTATTTTTCTTAAATAAACGTTATAGAATATTTGGGTTTTTCCTGATTTCTTTATTAGAATATTTTTTGACCTTTTTAAAGGTCAACAAAGATGTTTAAAAGATGTTTGTTGTTTTAAAGCGCTTTTAAATCTAAGGAGTCTGAGTTTTGACGTACAGGATACAATTTAATTCTGATATATTCCTGCATCAACACTTTTGAAATGAAAATAAATTAACAATTTATTGCACAAACACTTTTTTTAATAGCTTTGATACACAATTTATGAAGCATTGAGATTTTGCATCATGGAATTTTAAAGCAAAATATATCAAAATAATACCCCACTATATTGGAATACAATGATTGTCTGATTCACATTTATCCAAGCTGGAGTAAAATGTCGCATCAAATATTAAGACAGGGTCGAAACGTCGTTGGTTTTTCTTACCTCACTAACTAATCTATCCTTTTTCGCAGCCCTAGACAACTTTGTTTAAATGTATGTATGGAGCAATTACTTTCATCTCTATTTTTCAAGAAGTAATTGGTAAAATTCTTATATTTTTTACGGGAGATTAAAAGCATTTAATTTTGATAATTTTGAAAGAAAATTCCTATGACCAGAATATTTCATAGATTATTTTTGTTAAAATAGATTCCATATCAGGCTGTGACATCCGTCTTGTGTTTACTTTTCCGCCCAAAGACAGTACACTGCAGTACAAAAAATGCGTACACCTCTGAAATAACTTTCATTGCATTAGTATTTAGTACCTTGCATAAAACGATTTTATCTTCCAGATAAAGGTTAAGGTTTCAAGGGTTTCGTTGTAGATCGGTCATTATACTATTTTTGCATGAAGGGTCACTTAAAATTACGCTTACAGTCCCTTTCAGTCTCCCGATTACAAGTCAGTCATTCTTAACGTTTGTGAGATTACACTTATCTCTAATGTTTTAGTTCATATTATTTCAATCATAAAATGTCCATAGTGTCTTTGTTGTGTTATTAGTATTGTATATATGCTGAGGACGAATTTAAAGAATTTGAGCCGCGGCTTAACTTTAAGCCGTGGCCTGGATCAAATATGATTGGTTCTACTTAAAATCGTATTCAATTTTTAAAGATTTAAGCTGGCGCTCAATTGAAACAGGTTTTTGGCAGATTTAAGCCACGGCTCAAATTCATTAAATTCGGACACTGGAAGGATTTTCTCAACTCTCAGATGTAAAAGCTCTTCCCCCATTGGTATAAAACCTAACTTTACTTTGCATTTTACAACCTTGATTTGGCAACAATTTAAGGCGTCTTCTTAAAACTGTGTTTTTATTGGACGAAATAATCATTCACAAAAAAACCTTTTTTAAAAAAAAGATGCCCGCAGCCCGTCTACATGCCTCTGGCGCTATTCGAACACTTCTTTTGTCGGTGTGGTAATTGCAGGTAACATTATTTATGACAAAACAAATTTAATAATTAACATTCTTTTTAAAAAATTTATGTTTCAGAATATATATTTTTGATAAAATTACATGAATCATAACTCTAGGATTGTATAAATTATAAATCTAAGATTGTATAAATTATAAATCTAAGATTGTATGAATTATAAATCTAAGATTGTAGAAATTATAAATCTAAGATTACAAAAACTATAAATCTAAGATTACATTGATTATAAATCTAAGATTACATTGATTATAAATCTAAGATTGTATAAATTATAAATCTATGATTGTATAAATTATATAAATCTAAGATTGTATAAATTATATAAATCAAGATTACATAAATTTTAAATCTAAAATTACGTTGATCATAAATCTAAGATTGTATAAATTATAAATCTAAGATTACAAAAATTATAAATCTAGGATTACATTGATTATAAATCTAAGATTGTATAAATTATAAATCAAAGTATATGTATAAATTATAAATCTAAGATTGCATGAATTATAAATCTAAGATTACATTAATTATAAATCTAAGATTACATGATTACATCTATATATATAAAGTTGTAATCTCTGTTATGGTGTTTTTTGTTTGTTTGCCCGATCATAACTCAGAAACCCCTGGACTTATTTGCCTCAAATTTAATTGGGGAAATCGGGAGACCCACGTGGGAATGTTCTTAGCTTGGTTTTGAGATTCTAAGTTGAGTTGGTCGACTTAAACAGTGAAAACTTATTTTTCTGATATAAAACTATTCAAGTGCGGGTAAACGGCGGGGTAACTTTTATTTTACTTGGCAGCGCTGGGTTCCCACCAAACCAGTTGATTATAAATCTAAGATTTGATAAATTTTAAATCTAAGATTACATTCATTATAAATCTAAGATTACAATGATTATAGATCTAACTTACATTGATTATAAATCTAAGATTACAACGATTATAAATCTAAGATTTGATAAGTTTTAAATCTAAGATTACATTCATAATAAATTTAAGATTATAATGATTATAGATTTAAGATTTTACAAATTACAAATCTAAGATTACAATGATTATAGATCTTACTTACATAAATTATAAATCTAAGATTAAATAACTTATAAATCTAAGATAACATAAATTATAAATCTAAGATCAAATAGCTTATACCAAGAATGTAAGGCAAGGAAAGTTATTTCAGAAGTGTACACATCTTTTGTACTGCAGTGTACTGTCTCTGGGCGGTAATGTAAACACAAGATCCATCTTTCACATAAAAAATCAATGAATATTATGTGAATTATCGAAATTATCAAAATTTAATGCTTTTAACCTCCTCGGATACTAAACGAACACTGATGCATCTATTCGTGTTTACAAATTCCGCCCAAAGAGAACTGGTTTCAATATGTACGCAGAGTATACACGACCGCAATAAACTTTCCTTGCATTACATTCTTGGCTTATACTAAGATTACATAAATTATGAATGTAAGATTACATAAATGTACAATGTTCTGTTTAAAGTCCATAAATAGCTGGATCCACATTATCTGCTACAGCATTAAACAAGTTCTTCAGCATTCCTCCGATCTACACAAATTCAATAAACAGGGTGAGTCAAAAAAAAAGAGAGTGAATAGCGAGATTTTCATATAATAAAGCATTTGTTTTGGTAATCTCAGATTTAACAAAAAAGAATGAAACTTTGAATTTTTTATAGCAATCCGATAAACCATATCCGATAAACCTTCAGCAATCCGATAAACCATATCCGATAAACCTTCAGCAATCCGATAAACCATATCTGATAAACCTTCAGCAATCCGATAAACCATATCTGATAAACCTTCAGCAATCCGATAAACCATATCCGATAAACCTTCAGNTTCGTGCATTATCCAATCTCTCTTTCTAATTCTGTATCCCCCCTTGTGTCCTCTATATTGTTGAAGTTGAAAATTTGACATTTATGTTCATCATGCAATATATATATTGTAGTTTAGCAATCAATATATTTGGTTCAAGATATATTTTATCTGAAAATATATTCAGTTCAAGATATATTTCATTTATCAATATATTTAGTTCAATATATATTTCATTAAATAATATATTTAGTTCAAGATATACTTAATTTATCAATATTTTTAGCTCAAGATATATTTAATTTCTCAATATATTTTGTTCAAGATATATTTAATATATCAATATATTTAGTTCAAGATATATTTCATTTATCAATATATTTAGTTGAAGATATATATTTCATTTTAGAATATATTCAGTTCAAGATACATTTCATTTATCAATATATTTAGTTCAAGATATATTTCATTTATCAATATATTTAGTTCAAGATACATTTAATTTTTTATCATATTTTGATCAATATATATTTCATTAAATGATATATTTCGTTCAAGATATATTTAATTTATCAATATATTTAGTTGAAGATATATATTTCATTTTAGAATATATATTTGGTTTTATAGATATGTAATAAATTTCTTATAAGAACCCATATTTGTAAAACTGAATACTACATATTAACATTATCTGAACCCTAAGTACGTTGTATTGGCTTCTGAGAATACTATCGGCCCATATCATTAACATGTACTACGATTTAGTCTGATTACGTTCATTAAAGGGACTGTATAGGAAAACTGAAAGGGGGTATAGGCTAAAAGCTAATCACTTTAGCTCTTGATCACGACCCATGAAAGTTTTATCTGATGTTCCTGTCTCGAGAAATTGATATAAAACTGTGTTAAAATTATACGAAAATTCATATATGTAAATTTAGAATATCTTAAACTTAAATCACGTGACCAGAACTATCACCAATGGCAGAGCAGTATACTGGTCTGTGTCTCCGCCTGTATCACATGACCACTTTACTTCACTGCCATTGGTGGAATTTCCAATCAAGTAATACGGACGTGTAAATAATATTATGAATTAAATCTATAAAAAAATAAAAATAAAATTATAAAATTATAATTGGAGTAAACCTTATTTACAATTAGCTTTCTCTGGGATATCATCGTTTTCAGATTGGTTGCATATTTGCTGAATTTGATCTTTTTAAACCCACTACTTTTATACAAAATTGTATGTATATTAATTTTCGTATAAATTTGACAAAGTCGTATATCAATTTCTAGAGATAGGAACATCAGATATAACTTTCATGGGTTGCGATCGAGAGCTAAAGTGATTAGCATTCAGCCTATACCCCCTTTCATTTTTCCTTTACAGTCCCTTTAATTTCACATGTAATTTACACCCATCATTACTTTGAATATAAATATGGGTTGTCTTGTCACATGTATTAATTCTCGTGTGGAGAAGCAAAGAGTTACCTCTGTGTATCAGGGATACATATTAAGGAATACAGAGTTGTATCAGGGATACATATTAAGGAATACAGAGTTGTATCAGGGATACATATTAAGGAATACAGAGTTGTATCAGGGATACATATTAAGGAATACAGAGTTGTATCAGGGATACATATTGGGGAATACAGAGTTGTATCAGGGATACATATTAGGGAAAACAGAGTTGTATCAGGGATACATATTAAGGAATACAGAGTTGTATCAGGGATACATATTAAGAAATACAGAGTTGTATCAAGGATACATATAAAGAAATACAGAGTTGTATCAGGGAAACATATTATGGAATATAGAGTTGTATCAGGGATACATATTAAGAAATACAGAGTTGTATCAGGGATACATATTAAGAAATACAGAGTTGTATCAGGGATACATATTAAGAAATACAGAGTTGTATCAGGGATGCATATAAATAAATACAGAGTTGTATCAGGGATACATATTACGGAATACAGAGTTGTATCAGGGATACATATTAAAAAATACAGAGTTGTATCAGGGATACATATAAAGAAATACAGAGTTGTATCAGGGATACATATTATGGAATACAGAGTTGTATCAGGGATACATATTAAGAAATACATAGTTGTATCAGGGATACATATTATGGAATACAGAGTTGTATCAGGGATACATATTAAGGAATACAGAGTTGTATCAGGGATACATATTAAAGAATACAGAGTTGTATCAGGGATACATATTAAGGATACAGAGAGTTGTATCAGGGATACTAACTTGAGAATAGAGTTGTATCAGGGATACTAATTTAAGAATACAGAGAGTGTTGTATCTGGATTGATACTCACTAGAGCTAGTTGTATCTGAGTGATACATACTAAATAATACAAAAGCGTCGTATTTTGGACATACTTTTACTTGCTTTTGGACATACTTTTACGTACTTTTGGACATACTTTTACTTGCTTTTGAACATACTTTTACTTACATTTGTATATACTTTTACTTACTTTTGGACATACTTTTACTTGCTTTTGGTCATACTTTTACTTACTTTTGAACATACTTTTACTTACTTTTGGACATACTTTTACTTACTTTTGGACATACTTTTACTTACTTTTGGACATACTTTTACTTACTTTTGGACATACTTTTACTTAATTTTGGACATACGTTTACTTACTTTTGGACATACTTTTTCTTACTTTTGGACATACTTTTACTTACTTTTGGACATACTTTTACTTACATGAATACGGAGAACTGGCTTGAAATCTTCCAGGAATAGATCGGGAGATCTATTTATCACTGTGTGAACAACCTAGAGAAATACCTATGAAGTTTTAATTATTTTCAGGTTTATAGATGAGAAATTTGTTTACTTTCTTTTGTTTAGGTCGTAAATAATTCTATGATTAGAAAAGGTTAAAATGTGTAAACTTATAATTTCCAGTGACTCTTCGCTAAAATTGTCTAGTCCGATTTACAACAGTACCGTACAGACCTTTATCTGCAAGTAGGGTTTCCAGCGGACGAAACGTTTTGCGAAAAATTGGGAAATTTTTCGGTCGCATTTCGCAAACTTTTTCGCGAAAATGAGAAAAGAGAAAACTGAAAATGCGAAAACATTTCAAAGTTTTTTTTCAGTTTCGCATTTTTAATGTCGCGAAAATTTCATATGTTTTCACGAAACAGATTGGAGCGAAATTTCGCGAAAACAGTGAGAGAAAAAAAATTTCGCGAAACGATTTTTCCTTTTCGGTGGAAACCCTATCTGCAAGGGACATAGGAAAATAATTAACTCTAAGTTTATAGGAAGTCTTTCTTTTGTCTGATCAAGTATGAGTTAGATATCGATATGTGTTTGTTTTGAAAACTGATGATTTCATGTGTGATTTCACCATAAAAGTCATTTGCGCATTTTTTGCAACAGAAACATTGGTGAAATTAACAAAATAAAAAAAAACTTTTTTAAGCCATTTTCTATATTATTGATAAGATAAAGTTTTCAAGTGTCCGAATTTAATGAACTTGAGTCGCGGCTTAAATCTGCCAAAAACAGGTTTCAATTGAGCGCCGGCTTCAATCTTAAAAAAATTAATACAATTTTAATTGGAACAAACCATATTTTAGTCGCCGCGGCATAGATTTAAGCCGCGGCTCAAATTCTTTAAATACGGCCTCAGGGTGCTGTAGTGAATCGGACATGACGTCCTCCATTAAAATATTTAAATGGAGGCTCACTTTAAATTAAAATATTTAAATGGAGGCTCACTTTAAATTACAACAGTTTCTTCTGAAGTTAAATAATCATTGAAATAAAACTTTTCACGGATCTCTGAACGAATTATAGTTTCAATCAAAAATCAAAGAACAATCGGTTCTTATAAAATCTTGTATTGGAAATGCATTCGATTAAATATTCCATTTGTGCAGGCATCAATTATATTTTTCCATTCATCTGAATGTCATGTAAAAATGCAATTTCCCTTAACATTTAATAGAAATGATGTCAGAAGAATAAAATAATGCTTTTAAAGGGACTGTACAGGCGTAAAGTCCCATTAAAGGGACGGTTCACTGTACAGACGTAATTTAAAGGTATTCTCCCTTTCAGGAGCATAGCATGCGCGATTCACATCGCACGGAAGCAATTTACTCATTTGTTTAAGCAATCCTTGTTACAAGTGTTAAATTCTGTCCGAAATTTACAAATATTTTTTATAAAGAAACCGCAAATCCAAATTATCCATTTTCAGGAAAAATGATATCTTGATAAAATTGCTTGTTAATATTGTAAATCGAAAAAAAAACGAATTGTTAAATCAATTTTCAGCGCGATGAATGTATGAATTAAGATAAATCACTGTTGTACAGACACACATAGAGGATGCACTTATTTTGAGAACGTACATTGAGGACGCATATAGAGGACGCAAATCGAGGACACACATTGAGGACGCACATTGAGAATGCACAATGAGGACGCACATAAAGGACGCAAATCGAAGAAGCACATTGAGAGTGCACAATGAGGACGCAGATTGAGCACGCATATTGAGATGCACATTGAGAATGCACATTGAGGACGTACATTGAGGACGAACATTGAGGACGCACATTGATAACTCACATTAATGACGCACATTGAGAAATCACATTGATGACGTACATTTAGGATATTCATTGATAACACATATTGAGAACACACATGGAGGACGCAAATGGAGGACGCGCATTGAGGACACAAATCGAGGACGCACATAGAAAACGCAAATCGAGGACGTAAATTGAGGACGCACATTGAGAATGCACATTGAGGACGAACATTGAGGAACGCAAAGTCTGGGCGCACATTAAGTACCCACAATGAGGACAAACATTAAGGACACGTAAATTAAATGTGACAAATTTAAAAAACATTTACCTCGGCTAGGTTCGGTGCTTTTCCACCAAACAAGTTCTCCATGTTAACCTATAAAACCAAACCAAATATTTTATCTAATAATAGTTTGTTTGAAATTTCAAGAAATCGCTGAAACAGCTGAACCGATCGTGCCTTGTTTTTTTACCTTACATGACCCCGAGGACGAATTTCGCCCGGTTAAACTAGTGAATCAGTAAATTATGCCTTTTTGATTTTTTCCAAATCATGTTTGAGGAAAAGAATGATATTTGAAAGCTTGTAACAAGCCAATAGTTTTAAATATAAGAATCAAAGGTCTTCTGACCAGAAAATAAATACAAAATTTTCATTTCCGAGGGTTTTTAGATAGGAATTTTAAATAACAATTTTGAAAAAATATTTGGTTGGTTTTCCTTCATGTTGCCTTCTTTAACTTTGATCGTCATCCTTTCATCAAATCACAACTTGATTTTAAAAGATGTTTTTTTCAGGAGTAAACTTAAAATGTGGGGTCTCAAAAAAGTGAAATTTGTTTAAAGGGAGTGACTGGCTGGATATGATTGTTGAACCAAGCGTGCAGTATTATGAGGAAAAGTTAGTTTTTTAGAAGAATATGTCTTACGTTTTTGTCCTGGATTAATAAATAATTTCTAAAAAATAGAATCTTCAGAGTAAGCCTCCAGGATGTAAAAAATTAATCCTAAAAAATCTTCAATACTTCATTATTAGTTCATATCTACAATACCTAGCCAATTTCCTTTAACCCTATTCCCGCTGGGGGGGGGGTCAATTTGCCCCCCCCCTGTAGTTTTTTTTACATAACTCAAAAAGTATTGGTCTGAGGCTGTTGAAATTTTCTGACTTTTCTTACATACCCAAAGCCCTCCCTTTAGGCCTAAAACCGGGCTTTAATACTAACTGCCTGAGTCCTCAGGCACACTGCCTGAATGACTGCTTTTGCCTGTAGCAAACTAAATCTTTGTTTTGACCCACTTTCACTTGTCAGATTTTGATAAAATTTAGCTTTTTGGAAAGCCTATGACATAAGGAAACGGATTGCACAAGTTTTGCGAAAAAATAATTTCAAATTTTTTGCAAACAACCTGTCAAAGGAAATTTGCACATTTTTAGTTTTTCTTGATTAAAAATCAGGTTATTTAAAATTTTGCAAAAATATTTGCATATTTGAAATGGCATGGTCAAGGGCTTTTCAAAAATGTATAATTTGTCATTTTTTGGACAAATTTTTTTTTGCAAACATTTTTACTATAAAACTGGATTTTGCGATAAAAAATTCAATTTTCGCAAATTTGCAAATTTTTTTGCAGATTCTAAAAGTAGAGCACAAGAGCTTTCTAATGATGTATCATTTGTCGTATTTGGACATAAAACATGGGATTTAGAGGGGGGGGTCAAATTGACCCCCCCCCCAGCGTATCCTGGTTTTCAAGTACCCCAGCAGGGATAGGGTTAAGGTTTTGTGGGAAGATATAATATGTTAGTTTTTCTTGAAACATTGGAAGATATACAGATTTATAATCTAATTGCAATTGTTTGTTCAAAAAACATAAATTTTTTTTCAAAAAATCCATAATGATATTTGTAAGTTATGATTTTTGATTCCTAGGGTTCTCCTCTATAACGACCTTCCCATTAACTTTACTAAGTTTAGCGACCAATATGGCGCTAACATCTGTCATCGTCATCTATAAATATAATGTTATTTTATATTTGCGACCAATATAGCGCTAAAATCTGTCATCGTCATCTATAAATATAATGTTATTTTATATTTGCGACCAATATAGCGCTAACATCTGTCATTGTCATCTAAAAATATAATGTAATTATATATTTGCGACCAATATAGCGCTCGAATTACAACAGAACCCTTAAAAGCTCAGTCTGGTAAAATATGAATTAGCTATCGCATATTTTTGTTCTTGTTTTACTGCAAGAGTGACTTGTGAATTACTGGCTTTTAAGAAGCAAATGGAGAAAGTATCAGAATAAAACACGAAAACGGCACTATATCTTCCACATTTTCATTCAGATTAAGGTTTTAAGGATTCCGTTATAAATCGGACATTGCCATCTTTGCATGGGATCACATGAAATTAAGGTGACAGTTTCTTTAAGGAGATTTTTCATCAATTTGAAAATGATTTCTTTTTGTATCTAACTATCTCAGTTCTAGAGAAATGTCCCTTAATTCGCAAGATTTGCCATAATTATGTCCGTTTAACCCTATCCTATCCGGATTGGGCTATTTTTGTCTAATATAGATTAGCCCCTAGAGTTGAGAGAATGTTTGAAAATTAATATTTAGACTTTTGACAATTATTAAGATATGACAAACGTTATTAAGTTCACAAAAAATGGAATAGGAAGCAATAATTAAGACTATTTAATGTTGTGTCAAACAAATAGTGTTACTAGACAATTATTAAAACACTAATTTAGTAAAATGGGTCTGTTTACACTACACAGTTGCTGTGTCTCATGATCGCATTGGACTTTTAAAAGTTATTTCTTAATTCTAAAGGTCGTCTTCCTATTTCAGAGTTTTCTGTACACTGTGCTGACCTGGAAATCTCCGGACGAGGATTCTACGTCAACAAGGGAGATAGTTCCGTCCAACGCGTATTGCCCTTTTGTAGAAAATTGGATTTGAAAAAATCTATTTATTATAGTTATATAGTTTTTATAGTTATACCCTGCCTAACATAGACCTATTCGACCTACCCCTCTATCTTAGTTTAGCGTGACCTGTTGCTGAAAGCTCCGGAATGGTGAGATCAACGAAGAGTAAGTTTCTCTCAGTGTTTGTTCTGAAATCGTTGACGATAAAGTTAGACAACCCGGAGATTATGTTCTTGTGGAATTCAGCCTAAAAAATCATATTTCAGAGATATAAATAAAACCTTCTATGTACAAGGGGGGGGGCTTCATAAATGATAAAGAAATGATTTTTTAAAACCACGTTTATTTGAGAAATATTATGTCATTTTTTCCTGTAAAATTGCTTTTTTCACAATCTCTATTCTCAAGATTTGCCAGATTATATTTCTCAGTTAAAATACAGTGAAACATTGTTTAAACTACAGTAAGGCCCATAAGAGAGTAAAACAGGAGACCCAAATTTTATATAGTCATGTGAAAATTAATCACAGCAAATGTGAAGATGACTTAACATCATCAAATACATATTATTGCTTGAATTTTGTCATCCTGTTCCATAGTTTTTGGGTCCCTCTGTAACTATGTGTTTTTGGACCTTAAGCTTGGATGCAGCATCGTTGAGGTTGAACTGGAGTTCTGGTATAAGAAGTGGTTCTCCCTGAGTTCAAATATATATGAAAAAGGGTAAAAACGATAGGATTGCTATAATGAATTTTAACAGAAGATGAGTATGAATGATAAAAAGCACAGTAAAGAATCAAAACTTCAACTTTCTTCTTAAAAAAAAGAAATTTTAATGTTGCCACAATTTTGAGAAAATGTTTATTTATATATTCAAATTTTGACTACTTTCATGGATTTATAGTTTTTGTTCATAATGTGTCAAATATAATTTAAACATATCAGACTTCATCGATTTTTGTAGAAGCCAATTCCTTTAAATATTAAAACTTGTTCAATGAATTAAATTGAACATCACTTTAAAATCCTGTTTTTTTATTCTATTTTTTCAATTTTTTAATTTTATTTTGAATATATTCCTGCTCGACGTTGTATTCTGGAATTCCGGTACGCATATTCACTCTACGGTTACAATTGACAATTTAGTGGCAAACAACAAAATCAAATAATTAATCATTTTTTGATTATTATTATTAATATTATTATTATTATTATTATTTTTATTATTATTACAAATGGCTTAAGCCCTAAATTATCCCTAAGGGTTTCTGTGAGCTCAATATGACAGGAGTTTAGTTTATCAGGATCATTATTTAAACAGTTGCCCAGGGACCCCTTCACATCTCCGTACACACTAAAATTTCGTCGTCGTATATATCAATACAATAAAGACGACTTTTTTCAATTTAGATTGCTATACCAAGCTTTCAAACAGTATGGTTACATATAAACATGGGAACAAAGAAAAACTCCTCTTTTCTTACTTGTAAACTTCTGTAAAATCTGAAAAAATCTTAGAAATCAAAACTTTAATAGAAAACCGTCTTCAATGTATTAATATAAACGCCGACCATTGTAGTTTACAGGAAAAATGTATATATGACTGAATTAAATTGCACGTGGAAAAAAACAAGTCTGCATATACATCTACGATTTGAATGTGCAAGATTCAATTGTGTTTCATGTATTTCAAAATGTACCCATAGATTAGATAGAACACTAGATGTCGTCTTTTCAAGATTTAGAGGTTTTCGTTTACAATAAGCCTGAGACATAGGCCCAGAGGAGTTACGCGCATGCTCTCTCTTTGTCTTGTAACTAAGCGCTGCCTGCGTGTAACTCCTTTTAGCCTCTGCCTCAGAGTTATTGTGACCGAAAATCCTGTAATCTTGAAAAGCCAACACCTAGTGTTTTATATTGTTAATTAATCTATGTACTGACCCAACAAAAATACTAAGTTAGGAATAGGAATTGAAAAAAATAAAGTTAGAGGCATTCGGTTTCTTCTATTTGAAATCATAAGCGTTTTGGTTTATATTTTAACAATCTTTAAACTTACGGATTTGTATGTTTAATACTTTTTATTCAAAACATATATGCCGGCAAAAAAGTATTTAGAAAGAAGGCTGAAAAATTATGTTTAATAGGAGAAATTGTAATCGAAAGTCATAGCTTTCTAGAATATTGACAGAACCATTAAATCCACGTGCCCGGTATAAATTCTGTTGATACATATTTCAGAATTTCATTTTAGAATCAATTTTATCAGGTTCTTTGGTTACACCTGAACAGGTTTTTGAGGTTATTGCTCTCCCGAGTGTTACGGTTCTTTAAAGTACAATTTACTGTCAATTTTCTGTACAGTGTACAAGTATTTGCTGTACAGTGTACAAGTATTTGCTGTACAGTGTACAAGTATTTGCTGTACAGTGTACAAGTATTTGCTGTACAGTTTACAGTTTCTTTGCTTGACAGTTTTCAGTTACAAGTTTTTTAACAGCTTTTTTCTCTCAAACAAATATACAGATATGTTTGTATATATGTTGCCTATAGCTGGACAAACGGCTGGACCAATCTGGCTGAAATTATTTTGAGAACCCAAAGCTAAGGCGAAAGAATCAGAATTTTTTTTTTCAAAATTCGATTTTTAAAACAATTCCACGGGCATCTAGTGTAGCATCTAGTATAATAGTGTTAAATGTTCTACGTAAACTGATTTTTTGGTTTAACCTTGATGTAGCAGTTAGGAGTAATACAGTCAAGAAGCTCTTCATTTTCTGGAATAGTTTTTAATTTCATTTTCTTCTCTCTTCTCATATACCTTTGTCTGCATCCTTATTTCTCCCATCCTTCCCTTCCTCCCCCACATTCTCCCCTTCCCTCGACCTCCCCCACATTNTAAGTTTACAGCTCCAGGGAACCGAAAGAAATAAGTTTACAGCTCCAGGGAACCGAAAGAAATAAGTTTACAGCTCCAGGGAACCGAAAGAAATAAGTTTACAGCTCCAGGGAACCGAAAGAAATAAGTTTACAGCTCCAGGGAACCGAAAGAAATAAGTTTACAGCTCCAGGGAACCGAAAGAAATAAGTTTACAGCTCCAGGGAACCGAAAGAAATAAGTTTACAGCTCCAGGGAACCGAAAGAAATAAGTTTACAGCTCCAGGGAACCGAAAGAAATAAGTTTACAGCTCCAGGGAACCGAAAGAAATAAGTTTACAGCTCCAGGGAACCGAAAGAAATAAGTTTACAGCTCCAGGGAACCGAAAGAAATAAGTTTACAGCTCCAGGGAACCGAAAGAAATAAGTTTACAGCTCCAGGGAACCGAAAGAAATAAGTTTACAGCTCCAGGGAACCGAAAGAAATAAGTTTACAGCTCCAGGGAACCGAAAGAAATAAGTTTACAGCTCCAGGGAACCGAAAGAAATAAGTTTACAGCTCCAGGGAACCGAAAGAAATAAGTTTACAGCTCCAGAGAACCGAAAGAAATAAGTTTACAGCTCCAGGGAACAGAAAGAAATAAGTTTACAGCTCCAGGTAACAGAAAGAAATAAGTTTACAGCTCCAGGAACAGAAAGAAATAAGTTTACAGCTCCAGAGAACATCAATCGTCGAATAAAAACTCAATGTAATTCGTATAGTTGTCTCTACAGGCTCATCCTTTGTGTTAGAAAACCTTCGATATCTTTCTCACTGTTACTCAGTTAGATGGTTGATGGATGAATATGACTACACTATAAAGGACGGACAATTGCAAGTACATTAAGCAGTCAGATTTTCATTGGAGACTCAAATCTTAAAAATTGCACGCAATTCACACAAATTGCACGCAATGCACACAAAACGAAAATCACACAAAAGCCTTTTCTATAGACCTGAAAACTGTGCTTAGTTTCCATCCATCATTAGAATACTGTGGCGGAGCCTAGCTATGTTTTATGATATTAGACTGTTTCGAGTCACAGTCTTTGTTTACGAATTATTTATATACAGGGTGACCCACATCAAAGTAGACCGCCCCAATAGGTCTAAATTACGATTTGAGGGACAAATCAGAAAATTTAAGAAGAATGAATCATTTTGAAAAATTTAAAAAGGGTAATAGAATTTTTTCTTGCAGAAAATGCTAGATTTTTCGAGTATTATTTGCGCATTTTGGCGTTAAAGATTGGAGATAATCTAATATGATATGGGACGCTCTGTATATTTCTCTGAATAAATCTGCTAGTACTTTTGATCCACGTCTCGCCTAAATATCATATTATTAAATCCTATTTAATGTGTGTTTATTTTAAGCCGAAGAAAGTAATTAATGTTAAAAATTTGAAAACTTTTTTCGTGGAATTTTCGTTAAATCCATTTCCTGAAATTTGGAGACCCTATGCACTCTCTCTTCAGGTCTCCGCTGTCGACTTGCTTGATGAAATCTGAGGGTCTCCACGAGATGGCCGAAGGGGTCTTTGACCGTACTCAGACGATGCTGATTTTTCCCAGACTCTGTTTTTTAACCTTCAAAAGATCTGAGAAGAAGAAAAAACATTTTCAACTTTTTCCCCATATAAACGATAAATGACAAATCAATTTTGATAAACGATAAATGACAAATCAATTTTGATAAACGATAAATGACAAATCAATTTTGATAAACGATAAATGACAAATCAATTTTGATAAACGATAAATGACAAATCAATTTTGATAAACGATAAATGACAAAAATCAAAACTAATGTTAGATTTGTATGCATGATTATATAAATAACTGAAAATGTATATTATTTCATGGATCGAGGTTGCGTTATGCATCAAGTCGTTTTTTTAAATATTTTCTTTCACAACGTTACTTTAAAACTGTTATCTAAGCAATAACAATAAAGACATTTTCGCTTTTCTAGGTTTAAAAGTATTCAGTCCTAATAATTCATATCTGTTTTCTTGTAGTAGAAATGCGCAAGTCGCTTTTGTACAGAACCCACAATTGAAATTAATCAATTTCTAAATTGCAAGTATTGATATCTAATTCATCCTTGAGTAACAAAGCTTAAGCGTATGGTTGTGAATCGGGCATTGTCATCTTTGCATTTATATATTTATAAAGTTATTACTGTATATGCATATAGTTATTACTATATTTATTACATGTCGATTGTTTTGTATTTTGATATGTTTTGATTTAATAGGTAATTTGTTTTAATATGTTTCGTTGGGATATGTTTTGTGATTATATGTTTTTTCTTAGCTCCAAGATGTTGTACCCCGGTTTCAAAAAACTTACTTGCTGAATTTGTGTGGAAAAGATATTATAAATAATGAAAAAACAACTTGTCGCAATGTCAAATTTTCCATTTTTTTCCGCACATCTTTTAAATTATTTCATAAACAAGGCCCCCCTTGTGCATGTCCCTATACCCCCTGTAGACTGTGTAGCCCCTATACCCCCTGTATGACCCTGAAGACTGTGTAGCCCATATACCCCTTGTATACTGTAAAGCCCCTATACCCCATGTATACTGTGTAGCCCTTAGACCCCCTGTAGACTGTGTAGCCCCTATACCCCATGTTGACTGTGTAGCTCCTATACCCCCTGTAGACTGTGTAGCCCCTATACCCCCTGTATACTGTGTAGCCAATATACCCCTTGTATACTGTGCAGCCCATATACCCCTGTTTACTGTGTAGCCCCTATACCCCTTGTATACTGCAAAGCCCCTATACCCCTTGTATACTGTGTAGCTCCTATACCCCTTGTATACTGTGTAGCCCCTATACCCCTTGTATACTGTGTAGCCCCTATACCCTCCTGTATACTGTGTAGCCCCTATACGTCCACTAGATTGTATAAGTGATTATATAAACAGGTCTCAGCAGTTGTATATTCACCTCCCCACTTATACAAAGTGATAACAATACAAGATTTGTCAACATATTCTAGAACCCAGAGTTACTTAAACCTAGAATACGGTAATTTTCTAAAAGGTTTTTAGTTTGATAAGAACGTCGTGTCATTAAACTTAAATTTGTCACTGTTCCCAATTTTCTTATATATTTTTTAGAACTAAGATTTTGAAAGAGGAAGTAGTAGAAAAGCTTGAGATTATAGATTAGATAATGGTATATATTTAAACGAATATAACTTTGAAGAATTCTCAGTTTTCATTGGTGGATTTCCGAAATTATTTTTTAAAAGTTTTTTTTAAAATTCCTAGACTTTTTTTAGGGTCATTGAGGTACGTCCCACGAAACATGACCGTAGCTAGACGACTTGAAAGTCGTCTTTGATAGTCTAGGATTCATGAAACAATAACCACATAATTCTCCTAGCCCTGGCATTTCCCAAAAACGTCCGTTTTTTTGTGCTCTCAATATTGCCGGAGATATTTAGAATTTTATTCAGACTTTAATTTTCTTGAATATAACCAAAATTGTCTAAATCTGAACGAAGTTCTTCATATCTCGAGCAATATTGAAAGTACAGAAAAGGCAGACCACATTTTGGAAATCTCTACAATTTTATTTCTAAAGTAAGGTTGACAAATAAATGCAGTAAATTATATTAAAGAATCAAGACGACCTTCAAGTCATGTTTCTTGTTGAATCGGATTGGTTTGGCCGCTAATACGTTTGTTTTAGCAACAAACGGAAAGAAGAAATCAATTATTGTTAGTCAAATAGTGTGACCCTCAGTTCAAAGATGGCAATGCCCGATTCACTATTGTACCCTTAAAAGCTTAGTCTGATCAAGTATGAATTAGATATCAAAATTTTGCCCATTATTGATCAGATAGTTTTCAAGAGTACCGTTGAAATCGGACAGTGCCATCTTTGCGAGGGTCACAGAAAAATTACACTTTAAGTCCCTGTAGGCCTTGTATAACATATTTTCTTGTAAAGGTCTGTTATCGAGACACAAAGTGAGATTGTCTAGACAAAAAATAACGAGGCTCAGTCAACGAAATCTTCACCGATTAACTATAATATTAAAGAAATTCATAATTTATTCTGAAAATTAAAATCTCTGACAACTTTTATTGACCAACAATAATAACTGCTTTCTTAGAAAAAAATTACAATGTTTTTCTGAAATAAAAGCTGCAAAATGAGTATTAACTGCTTGTGAGATGAAAAAAATAATATTACAAGTTTAAATGTTCATTACATTTTAAATTCTGTATCTTTCTCTTTAAGAGCAAATTAATTATAAGCAGATACGAATATTTGGACGCAAACAATGATATCAAACAAGTTCCTGGCGTACTTTAAATATGAATGATTATAGACAACTATAATCTCATTGTGTGTATTTAACCAGGTCCAAGTTATCAATAACTCTTAGTCTTTTTTATGTTCAATCCTTTCCCCCTAGGAGCTCCGAGGGATGGGGGGGGGGGGCAAAGTTTGAACTGTAAATTCAGAACATTTAGCTTCTTGGATATCAGGCAAAAGTGGCACAAGTATAAGATACTTTAAAGGTACACATACAGTCCAATCACCTTGCAATAGCTTACTTAAGTACTACTTTATCTCTCCTTTAAGTAAAACTCTGAACTTAAAAGGGAAAATTATGTTACAGCACTGCAATAATATGTATTTTTTTTCGTTGTGGGGAGGATTCCCCTCAATCTTATAAACAGCAAACTATTTTTGTCCCGTTCTTCAGTCTTCACACTACAGTTTAAGATTTGAAAAGTGTGATAGCTCTGAGTTCTAGGGGGGTACTGCCCCCTTCCCCCACCCCTGTATAAGCCCTTGCTTTCTTCTTTCCCCCTAACCCCTCCCCTCTACCCACCCACCCTCTCCCTCACTCTTTAATATACAGTG